TAACCCGGGGACTCGAAGCTTCATCTCAGAGCACAGGTTGATATGGATAACAGTGTTCTTTATTATTCAACATGTCCTCAAGCCAAGAACTCTTAAAGCCAGGGGTGTCAAACTCAATTTCTCGCCGGCCACATTCGCATAAAGGGTTGCACTCAAAGGGCCGGTTTGTAACTATATAAATATATAATATATTCATATAAAATAATGTATTATATTACATATTGCCTCTGGAATATGGATTATTATCGGATAGGATAATAACTTAGTTAATTAACTAACGTCTGAAAGCAGAAGTCCAGGGCAAATAATTGCAGTGCGCATGTCACAAAACGAGATGCATTGTGTGGGACATGTAGTTTATGGGCAACCTGCTTCTGTAAAGTAGCATGTAACCATATAATAAACTTATTATATTTTTTGCAAGCTCTTGCAGGGCCACATAACATGAAGTCGCGGGCCGGATTTGGCCCCCGGGCCTTGAGTTTGACACCCCTGTCTTAAAGGAACAGGATTAGGGACCCTGTACTGTATGTATCAAGTTGTTAGAACTATTTCATGTTGGAGACTATATTAAGCTATTAAAGTAATCATTCTTAGCCACTAACTTACTGTTATGAATAGGTGATTAAACATGGGTTAGCTAGTTCAGGTGATTGTGAGAGGATTTCATGGAAACTATAAGTTCAAACTATCATTTGTATTGACTATGTTGTACATTTATTCAATTATCCCATACACACTACATATATTGCACGTTTGTCCTCTCTGTTACAGCATCCTCTACCCAAAGTTTCTTCAATTCTTTCCCCATTAATAGTTTTTGAGGAGTTGTTCCTTCTTACAGCCAGGGTCTAAGGACAGATACTAGTACACACTATAAAAGACAATGTGTATTTGTGATTTGGCGTTATATTGATAGATAAACTTAACACTAATGTCATTTACTCAACACTGACTTAATGTTGATTCAATTAAATGTGTTTACGAATAGGAAGATTTATATTTGCTAATAATATGTCGGATTCAGGTTAATGCAATATTTATTTAGACACATTTTTGTAAAAGTAACTCTGACAACCCTCATGTAAAGACCTATGCTTTACACATGTTTATTTATACTAATGTGATATTAATGTGTCACATTTAACCACAAACACACCGTCTACTTTATGTTTTATTGTAGCATGATGTTGAGGACTTGGGTTTGATACAAACAGACACATGCCTATGTTTTCATAAGGAAATTGTTAAAGACTGCAAAACATTTTATTAAATGTGCACAAAATGCAGTGTGTTGACGCACACAGACGCACGCACACACTTGGTTAGTGTGAGCTTGTGTTTAAAATGAATGCCCATATTCTGACAACTCGCAGTACAGCAGGAACTGGGACAAAAGTGAGGAGCGCACACCATTAAAATGAACTTCTTGAGCGACACAGCTATTTTTAATTACACAAACTGTACAGGAAGTGCTGTCAGCATCATGGACAGCAAGGGCTGAATTGTGAGGAGGAAGAAACACACTCACACACTGCCTCTGTGTGTGAGGGGCTCCTCAACTCATCTTAAGATACTTTTTTAGATAGTAACTCATTAGTTTGAGATGCTAAGTCAGCATGATAGAAATTAAGTTTAGTTTGAAAAACTAAGTCAATATTTTGGCAGTTTTTTGTTATTTTGAGAACCTAAATCAAAATGTTCAAACAATTAAGTCAATATTTGAAGCCATTATATTATAGAACGTTTTTTTGTTAGGTGACTTCCAGAGTGTGTATAAATACAGACTGATGCACTTTTACCCTCCGACCTGCATCAGCACTGTGATATAAATCCTGTTTAGAGTGAAGTGTGAAGCAACACTGTCCTTTCAGTCTGAACAGCTGGCATTAAGACATGTCTACACTACATTACACCCATTTCAAAATGTCAGCTTGTTAAGATTCAAAAGCCAGAAAGTGTGAAAAGAGTTAAAAGGCTGAGAAAGGCTGACCTTTTTTTGACCCCCACGGGACTATTCAAATCTACAGTGAGTTAAGAGGTATAGTCGCTAAAGTTCAGAGACTCTTATCAAATGAGTGATGTTCGCTCAGCCATCATCACAGAAGTGTCACATGGACTCTTCAGGTGGTAGTGTACTGGCCCTGTAGGAATATAAGAGAGCCACTATGTCTGCAATCTCACACATACACACACACGCACAAACACACACACACACACACACACACACACACACACACACACACACACACACACACACACACACACACACACACACACACACACACACACACACACACACCTAGCAGAGGAGAAGAAGCTGGAAAGGTAAGCTGGTAAGCTGTGCTGTCAGCCAGCAGACAGACGTGACTGCATATCAGTCAGTGAGTCTCTCAGCACTGACACACTGACACCAACACAACACCACGAGAGCAGGTTCAGGATCAGGGCGCCGCTCAACTACAGTCAGCCTGTCAGGACTACAAACACTGGCTCACTGCTCAGTAGGGTACAGGATGCAAGAGCAGCAATGCCAGGTAAGGAGGAGGAGAGGTAGACACGACTGAGCACATAATGATCCAGTACTCTGACTAACACCTCAATATAAAAGTCAACCAGCTCACATTATTATGAGCCGCTCCATCAGTAAAACAAGTCTGTAACTCCAGTCTGCTTTTAAATAATTTAGCAAAATATCTAGTCAATATTTGAATATATTACACAGCATTTCAGAAGTTGTTAATACTCCCTAAAACGCTGATAAGGAGAACAGGCCGTTGCTAAGGAGGCTCAAGGGACTATGTACAATATGCAGAAAGAAGTGCAGTTTGATTTAATGTCTACAATGGACAACAAACATTTGTTTTCTCCATCAGAAAACATAATGGAATACTTTTTTATATTAATTGTTATATTTGTGAAAGGCACCAAACTTTGGATTCATTTGAACTGTCTGCAGTAAAGAACAGAAACATATCGCAAGAGAAGGAAATAGGTTAAAGGACAGGGTGCTGAACATCAGAGGAATCAGACAGACAGGAAGTAAACACTAAAGGGAACAGTAGAGTAGGGCTCCAACAAACGACTCATTTGATAATCGATTCATCTATCCATTACTGAAACGATGAATCGATTATTTCGATTATGCCTTGGACAATTTCTCAAACGCTCTTATTTAGCCATCCACTTTTAGATTTAGGTTGAGGTTGTTTTAGGCATGTGGAAACTAATAATGAAGACAATGAAGATGAATACTTGATTCAAAAATACATATTTTATTAAACTGTCTGCTGAAAGATAAATTAAAAAATCTGTCCGTCAACATTTTAAACCAAGGATAGCAGATTAGATCAGATCAAAAATAACCTTTTTCACAGTCAAGTAGGGATGGGAAGGGATGGGTATCGTTAAGGTTTTAACGGTACTACTAATTTTATCGATCCGGTACTTTAACGGTACTCTTATCGGGTATTTTGAAAACTATTTTAACTAAACAAATTGTAAATAATGTGAACTTACAGAACTGTAAAAAACAAATAAAAAACAAGTATTTAAGTAAAATACAGTGGTACAGAGCAACACAGGTGGGGCATACAGGTATGCTGCAAAAAAACTCTTATTGCACTTTAGGCAACAAGCATTGTCCACATCGAGACGGGTAAAGGTAAACCATACCTAGGAGCGCGTGTGTGTTGCATGCATGTAGCAGCTGCGTGTGTGTAAACTGCCCTGCCCCCTCACACACAGACAGGGGAGAAAGATCTGTCGCCTGGATTGGAAAGATCGAAAATACATCATAGACGCATTTTGTAGTCTTTTTGCATATTAGAAACGGAGTTGGCGACACTAAGACTGCGATATAATGTTTGTGTAGCAATAATATATATGACATATATGTTTTAAATGTCTCCAGTACAGATAAAAAGACAGATAACGTTGGAGCTTAACGGCTCGTAAAACACACGTTATGACGTCACCAACGAATCGACGACTGAATTAGTTGGCAACTAATTTGGTCATCGATTTTAATCGATTAAGTCGATTNCACTCCTTTCCTGTAAAATACAGGTCCAGCCCACACATATGCTCCATGGTGCTACAGGCATTGCCCTTACAACTACAATAAGCATGTAAATGTTAATCTACAGCTAGATTAACATTTACATGCTTATTGTAGTTGTAAGGGCAATGCCTGTAGCACCATGGAGCATATGTGTGGGCTGGACCTGTATTTTACAGGAAAGGAGTGATCAGAGGGTCGAGTTGTTGATTCTTGTTCAGTTTTCGGCCCATTCCCAAACCGCCCCCTACACCCTACCCCTACCCCCTACCCCTCCGTTTGCGCGTTCACACGGAGGGTCCGCCATATTGAGGGCTGTTCCAAACCAACGAGTGTGGAGCGGTGTGGAGGGGGAGTGGGCTATCAAGCGCTCAAACAGCGAGTCTGCAGCAGCGGTGCTGACTTGAGACCGGTCTCTACCTGACCGGAGTCACGCTGTGTGTGTCCGTCAGGAAACACGCTGTTTCCAAGTAGTTCCAGCAAACATCCACTGATAAACTACGATGTTAACAACCTCATGATAACCTCATATGTTTTAACTTAGGATCATACCTGTGTTTAGTCTAGAAAAAGGTAAATGTGTGCATTTTATTATAAAGTTGTGTATATTTACAGACTGTTGCAAAAACTAAGAAGCTTATCAACATCAGGTTTAAAACTAAAAGAGCTTTACAAAAAACACAATTAAAGATGTTTGGAGTTTTATTTGAGTTATTAATTTAATTTTTTGTCAAGAGATGCTGATTTGAAACCGTTGTTACATACAGTTACGGCATTTCCTGTTTATGCCGGAGAGAGGGGAGGCCGTCCCAAAGCTTGCCGCTGTATTTACTTACGCATCTGACAGGAGAGAGCCTCGTTCAGCTGCGAGTGTGGCTACAGATGGAGTTCACTCCGTCACGGAGGGGTAGGGTCGAGGGAGTGCTTTGGGATTGGGCCTAAGAGCTGTTCCAATCCAACAAGTGTGGAGTGGGAGTGGGTTATCAAGAGTCTGCATCACCTGACTTCACCTGCTGCTCTACCTGACCGACTCAATGCTGTGTGGGACCGTCATGAAACACACTGTGTACAAATAGTTCCGTGCAAACAATCACTGATAAACTGCACAACAAGATAGATATTTAATATTCTCATGAAGATGTTAGCAACTTCATGGTTACTTCGTATGTTATTACTTAGGATCATATACCCGTGTCTAGGAAACGGTAACGTGTGCATTTGATTGTAAAGTTTTATATATTTACAGGGAATGGTGCATAAACCAAGCACCTCATAAATATAACATTTTAGAACTAAAACTTTTTTTTACAAAAAAAAAGGCCATGAAAGATTTGTTGAGTGATCTTTTCCAAGAGATGCTGATTTGAAAGTTGAGGCTAATCTTCTTTGGTCCGCCCAATCACCACGCTTCTTTCTCCGATGTTATCTGATGATAGGTGTATCTGTGTCGTATGCCATATGTGCTTCACTAAAAAGAAGTTGCACAATTCATAGGTGCTACCGGCCACTGCTTCTACATAATCATCATTGCCATAGCGACCTGCCCTCTCTGTTAGGTGGTGTTTGACGTTAAAGATGTGTTGTGTGGAAAGTGAACGAAGAAAGAAATGACAACTAAGACTAATGAACTCACTGGGACACATTCTACATTAGATATCATTTAAAATGTTAGCTGGCTTTTTATTGTTGCTTAGTCAAATATTGAATAATAATAAACGTTGTATTTTCTTTCTGTGTTTCCCTCTTCAGATGCCTGTCTGTACCAGTGTGAGAGCATGGAGGAGGGCGAGGACGCTGACTTCAGCAGAGGGGTGAAACACGAGCCGGCGGTACGTACGGAGACAAAAAGAAAGTGATACTGTTAAGAGCTCTGGTTTCTGTCCCGGACTGAGAGAGAAACCGATGCTCGGCCTCCTGTACAAAAACTCCAGTCATTCAGTGGCACAAATGAAACATTTCAACGTTGCTTTTGGAAAGTTGAAACTATTTTCTCTCGGGTTTAGCATCATTTGATAGTGTATGGGCCCCTCTTTTGTAAACGACATTATGTTGAAGCCCTTCCAACTGCATGCAGCCACATAAGTGACACTTTTTTTTTACGTAAAACAAAAGGAACAACTTACTTTAAAACGGTCACTGCAGCATGCATCCTTAACATTGTTACTGTAACAGCAGTCATTGCTTTCCATATATTTTAACAATTTAGCCTGGCAATAAATCAAAGCTTGATCCTTTCTGCAACTATTAGCCTACACTTCCAGTCACATCTCAGTATTTTATATTCTTTACTTAATTAGTAGTTTACTAAATTAAATTTGAGTAACAGCAACTTGTAGCTATTCAAAATGATGTAGGGAAAAAAGGAATTACAAGAGATGTCCCACCCTTAGCACGTAGAATGTGATTGAGCTTTAGCCAATAGAAGCTCCGTCTGGAGGAGCTTTGATATGTGCAGACCAATTGAAGACCATTTCCATGCACCTATATAAAACACCAGGAACAAAAAGAAAAGGCATCATAGGGACTCTATGAACAATTCATGTATGAAATGTAGTCATTAAGTCTCAAAGCAGCATGAATATTCCATATCTTTATTGTGTAACAGGAGTTATTGCCTTATACTATATTAGTACTACATCAGGTGATATACGTTTTTATATTAAAGCAACTACTAACTAGTCCAAAAATGTAGTGACTTAAGAATCACAATATTAGCCTCTGAAATCTAATGTATTAGAAGTATAAAGTAGCGTGAAATTGAAATACTTAAGTAGAGACGTGAATTATTTCTTTAACTCTGTAATTTGGAATCATTTAATTTCAAACCTTTATTTAAACGAGATTGGTACCCATTGGATCATAAGATCTATTTTTCCAGGGAGACCTGCAGCCATATAGGTTCCACATGAAACATAAACAATAAAGGAAATCTTACATTATAATTTACAGGATTACATTTACATAGTTATAGACATTAACAAGTGCCATAGTATCAACGAGCATTTTCATTTTGCCTAGCTTTAAAAACATGCAGAGGAATGAGATTGCTCAGTTTCAATTCTTGCTGAGGATTCTTCCAAGCAAGTGGAGCTGCGCACTAAAAGCTGTCTTACCTAAGGCAGTCCTTGCTCTTGGCACATCTACATACTACCATGAATCTCAGACAATAGCTGCTTGCCACTCTCTGTGTTTGTTGATCAGAGAGAAGGTATAATACGGGAGTTTACCAACAAAGCTTTCTAAATAAACAGTGTACAATGACTGAGCCTTCTTTACCAGTGAGTGATGGCAAACCTGCCTTGGCATACAGGGTACAGTGATGAGTTAAGTGCTTTACAATTTGTGGACAAATCTCAGTGCGCTGGTGATAGGCGCATCTAACTTGTTCAGGCAATAGGCAGGCGTTCTGCATTCATCATAGATCAAATCACCAAAGTCCAGCCACAGGTCAAAAGGTCACCAGTGACAGCTTTTCCTGGCCTCAGCGAGAAACAGGACTTGTTTCTGAAAAAGAAACCTAGGCCTGAGCGACCTTCAGTTTTTAAGCAGGTTATTGACATGAAGTTTAAAAGTAAGACAATCATCAAGCCAGATACCAAGGTATTTGTAACAGGTAACCATTCTACTACTTTCCTTGGCATAGTAACAATATCTAAAACAGGCTCTGGTGTCTTTTGGCTTTGGAAAATAACCATTACCTTTGGTTTATCAAACTTTAAAAGAAGCTTAAGCCAGCAACGCTGAGTCTGAATAGGTTTAAACACGCCTGTAATTCCACCACCAGCCTCCTGAAATGGAGGGACCTGCACAATACATCACGGTATCATCCGCATAAAAATGTAAAGTAGCTTCATCCACATTTTCACCTAAACTGTTGATATATATGGAGAATAAAAGTGGACTATTGGCGTCTCTCATTTATATTGTTGTTGTCAGCAGCATAAACGCTGCAGTTAAACCCCCAGTTAGTTTCAGATGACGGTCAAAGGATAATCAGGCTACTGTGTCAGATGGCTGACTAACGCACGCACGCACGCACCCACACGCACAATCCAGCAGCGGTTGTTTTTGCAAAATCGTCCACTGCTCCTCCTTTCCTTCTCCCTCTCACAGTTTACATAAACCTTGTGTTCAGCCCTCGATCCTGACAACCCCACGTCGCCTGGCAACACCTTGACGAAAACCGCTTTCCTCACAGGTAACAGACCGGCCTATCACGGCCTTCAGTGGGAACATTGAACCAGCTGCGTCAGTGTTTGCTTTCAAGTTCCATTATAAACAGGAGCTGCTTCACCCTCACTGCTGGACGGCAGCGGTGAAGTGGAAAACATTGAATAAGTAAAAGCAAAACAGCAGTTCTGTTAATAATACCGTTTTTATAAATAACTATCTTTGTACCTGGATATATCAGGATTAAATAGGAAACAGAGGATATGCTTGCATATTCTTGTTTTGTCTTTGACATCAATCCTGTGAAAAGACCAAAACCAACCACGTGGGTTCCATTTCTCAATGCTGTATTACTTCCTGCCTTTGTCAATCCGTTCAAGCCATTGGTTTTCTACTTAGACATTCTTTAAAAATCACCCCAGGATATTTAGTTTTTATTTTGAATACCTTCACTCAAAAAAGAGGGTCAAATAGGCTTTTGTTCAGGACTTGTTGTGATCTATTGTGTATAGAGTGGTACAGACATGACTATAACCCGAAATGGTAGACTTTTTGGTTTCACAAATGTATCTTTTGGTCTAGTTGTCTGAAATACGGTCTGTGGTTAATATAAACAAGCTTAAGAGATGTCTGGCTTTCTTTTAGGATGTCAGTAATTCTCCACTGAATGTAGCTTCTGTTTGGTCATGAAAACAGCGTGCCAGCATATGACTTAAATAAGACGTATTATGCATCATCAACACTCAACAATTAGCGTCCTTTAGCTTAGCCGTGGTGATGTGTAGTTAGTTTAATAACTAACTTCTAACATGTTGAATACCATCGCAAGACTCATCTTTTCAAAAGGAACAAAAACATCCTTTAAAGACATGAAGTTGCCATTCTTCTTTCCGGTTTTTAACCCGTGACTCGTAAAGCTTGGTTCATAAACTCTCATTATTCTTTTGTGTAAATATTAATCATTCAGTTATGTTTCAACTAAGACCAGCACAATGATAACCAACTCTTATATCCCTGCAAGCTTTTTTTCCAAAGCATTTCATAGCCAGAAATAATGTTGTATTATATTGTATTGTTTTTTCACCATCAGAAAGTCAAGACTGTTGCTGTCATCAACTCTTTGTTAGATGAGGAACTTATTTGATATGTTTGCCTGTACACAGATTTTTGGTGGAATTGTTTCCCTGAACAAAAGGTCCCATTTCCTCAACAAAACACTCCAACTTAACATTCCTCTATTAGCATCTATTTTGTTTAGACTGCTCTCCTACTGTTATGTCTTTTGAATGAGTTTGCAGATATATTTTATTATTTATTATTTTCAGGTAAGCTCCATTGAGCCTTGGTTTGGCAGTTTGAAATCCTCTTTCTTTGTCTTACATACTCGTGTCATTCTTCTCTGAAGGGGAGGCTCCGTGTGATCAAAAGTGAAATGACCATCACTAAGCGGTTACCTGTGGAAATGTGTACGGTTTTCTGAGTTCTGATCAATTTAACAAAAACACATTTGCTCAAATTGTCAGTATTCATTGAGTTAATGTTTTCGGTTGTGTGTCCAGTGGTTCCAGGTGAAGGCAGAGCCTCCCTTCCTGCATCCTCATTCAGTTCTGAATGCTCTGGCAGCATCCCCAGACCTCCAGTGTGTGTTAAGTCCTGACTTTTGATGAGTTGGTAGTAAGCATGTGTCTCGTTTATCATCATAACTTTTAGTGAAGGGTTTTTTGCTCTCCTAAAACATGGAAAAGGGAAAAAAACGGGACTCAAGTGAAAATCACAAAGAAGCTCACTGTGATGAAATCACCCAGTCTGTTCTCCTATGTTGCTCGTCTTGATGGATATGGAAGCCCCATTAAAAAACATGTATTTTCACATAAAGTCTTCCTATAAATGTGAAAGAGCTGGAGAAAGAAAAACATTTGAAAAGGAAGTTAACATTTCTGGAAACGTTAAAACTTGCATTAACTGAGCATTTGGAAATAAATATGTATATATATTATATATGAAAATATATAATAGATGAATATGGATCATATAAATAATGTCTCTAATACAAGGGGTCCTTGAAAAAACCACTGTCTTACAATACCAACATTTTAGAAATGTTCTTTATGTTAATATAATGGAAACGGTAAGACATTATGTTTGCAGCAGCATAACTCAGTTTCCTAGTACAGATTATTATAGTCATTTGGGACATTGTTTCCCAAGTCTGACTGCGTCTTCTCTTTCCAGATCACAGTTAAAGGGAAAACCCCGCCACTCCTCCCTACATGTACGGAGACGTGGCTGTCCCCTCGCTGGGGTCCTTGGAGGTCACCGTGGCAACTTCAGCTAAACCAAAGGCCAGCTACAGGCCACAGCTACGACGCCGTTAGCAGCACAGATCCCAGTAGTCCTCGGTGGGATTCCAGAGGCAGGCTTCAGGTAGCGCACACACCACCATGTTTGTTTCTCTGGGAGTTGTAGTTTCAAGAGGCAGAGGCCCTAGTACACGAAGCCGGTATTTTTCAGCTTTAGTGAGGTAACTTCGAGGTTAACTCTGGGGTTTTCCCTTTCCTATCGCAAGCGCTGGTTCTTTCTTACCGGCTAGATCTCCATGGCAACTTATAGCTGAACGGCTAACCTAAGTTTAGGTTGCAGGTAAGAGGATCAACTCATT